CTTGATACACAGCTGCGGTCGCAGGTTGGGCATATATAATCACTAGGCGCCGTTGCATTTTCACCCTTCTTTCTGCTTCTGTTGTGTATGACATCTGCAATCTTTGAGCCTTCCTTTATGCTCTCTCTCCATGAGGATCTGTCCAGTGCTACCTCTTTTCAGTTGCCAGTGTCGATTTTGAAGAGCTTCATGTCGCGTTTGCATACATCGGTATAACGTAATAGTGGACGACCAGCGGCTCTCCTGCCTTCTATTAGATCGCCATACAGGATGTCCTGTGGAAGTCGACCTATTGGCATTCTACGAACGTGGCCAAGCCAGCCAAGGCGTCTGCTGCTGATAACAGAGCGGATGTCCTGGCACCCTGCTCTTTGTAGCACTTCCTCATTGGTTATCTTATCTTGCCACCTTATTTTAAAGATCCGCCTTAGGCATCGGAGGTGGAAAACATTCAGCTTTTTTTCCTGCCATGAGTAGGTTGACCATGTTTCACTTCCGTACAGCAAGGTGCTCAACACACAGGTCCGGTAGACTAGGGCTTTAGTACTGTTAGTCAGCAATATGTTGTCCCAGACTCTTTTCTGCAGCCGTGACATGGTGGCCATTGCCTTGGCTATCCTGTTGTTTATGTCTTTATCCAGTAGAGTGTTGTTGGATATGATGGAGCCAAGGTAACAAAAGTGATATCCCTTTCTTTCTTACTCCCCCCCCCCCCTCAATTTCCCAACTGGTCCAGATAAGTGATAGGATCATAGCATATTGAGAAAGCCAAAAGCATGAAATAGCGCCTTAAACAATTTGTAAAAATACTTCTATACGCACATTTCTATTGATGTTGGTCTAGATCTATTACTAATGTAATGACATGGCTGATCTAAACTAATTGGTACAATTACACTTTGTATTACATTTTGTTAAAATTATTTTTAAATGTTTTTTTTTTGTTTGCAACTTCAAATCTGTTAACTAGCAACTGAACAAATTGTGCTTCAGCTAAAGTTGTAAGGATAAGTTATTATTGTAATTGGCTGGCTTAGAGTAACTGTGTTGATGGCCCATTGGCCAACATGTAGGCTTTATTATAGGCTATCAATTCTTTACTCTATATGCTGGCAAACAAACTTGGTATTGAGATAGTGCTGCCGAGAATCAGCAGTGGACAGGCACACTGAACTAAAACCACAGGTTTGGATTTTGAGAGCTATTACAGAACAGAATATCTGTCGTGTTTTTACTCATGGTTAAAACAGAAGTACGTACACATACTCCATAACACTAATAATATAGATCAAATACTTACCACCCATGATAGGTGTCCCATTATCAATTCGTTAGACTCGACTGCTAAAGAGAGGAGAAATTCATAAGACAGCCATGACTTCCAATAGAAATAGTTGTACACATAAAGTTTGACTTTTGTATAGAGACCAATCTTCTCTACAGTGAAATGTTTTTGCGTATATTTTGTTTGAAATGTGTATATATGTATCCTTCGGTGAATGCGGAAAATAAATAGACTCTCTTGAAATGTAACCCGATTGACCTGTCTAAGAATGACCTGTCCAGATCAGCTACTAACTTATAGCAAGTTGAAGAGAAAAATGTTTGTTCAGCTGTCGTGAAACTAAGCTGATGTTTCGATCATCAGTCAGCCGCGTGGACTAAGTGGACACTTCTTACCAAGCTGCTGTAAACAATGGATTTACTGGAGTTGAATTCTACATTGATCGATCGCAGTTAAAAGTTTCGATCAAGTATTTATGTAATTGTTAAACTAATCAATCATTTCGTTACCTTGTTAAACGTTACTGATTATTGAGTTTTCGTTAAATATAAAAAAAAAAAACAAAAAGGCAAAAGTGAAAACAAGAAACTTTAGAGAGACACACACAAGTGTAGTTACTTTCAAAATGAAATTCAATATTTAAAATATTTTTTCTTGTCTATCTGTTTGACGAGTTAACACTGATAATAAGCACTTATACAATTATAACTTTAACTAATTAAGTAATTATTAATTAATATTTTTGACAACAAATTTCAACAAATAGTAATGCAAGAAAAACTCCACATTGAAAAACATAACAAATAGATTTTTCAATAAAAGTATTATACATTGTCACTGCTAGACATGACATGCACTTAAGTACTGCACACTTTCACAGCTAGACGTGACATGCACTAAAGTACTGCACATAGTCACTGCTAGACGTGGTACAGACTAAAGTACCGTACATTTTCTTGTAAAAGTCAACAGTAAATGACATCCAAGACGTGAAATAAAATAAAAACAAGATTACAAAGAGAGTTTGTGTTATCACACAAACTCAGAGGCGGCCCCCTTCGGATCCGCCTATTCGAAAGGAATATTCAAGACGTGATTTTATTTTGATTGTCAAAAGTAATAATGTTTCAAATATTTATTTGCCGTTGTAAATTTTTTTTCTGTCTTACATGTTTCGGATGTTTTTTCAAAATTAAAGATAATTAACTTCCTTGTCCAAACCTCCCGCTGGACGACGGGGGATGGCAGCGAGCTGGGCATGAACCCGGGACCGTCGAGATAATCAGTCCAGCACGCTAACCGCACGACCAGGCATTGCTGTTAACTTAATAACTAACTGGTTAAAAACTAATAAAAATATTAGATTAGTTTTAGTATATTAGGCTATAACATTGCAATATTGATCTACAGGCATGTCAAACTCATTAAGGTGTGTGGGCCGCATAAAAACTTAGTATGACCTGAGGGGCCGCAGCCAAAAATCAGTTGCAAAACAGCCTCTCAGTTTTATGTAAATTAGAAACAATACAATAGAATACAATAATTAATGGCATACCTGCCCCTTATTTAGCTAAATTTGTAGTACGATTTGGGAATTAAAAATTAATAGGATTACGCATTATTTTCTTTGTTCTGATGCTTAAAATCTTTTATAGGATACAAGCTTATTAATGTCATGTTGAAGTTTGTTTTCCACTGACACTTTCATTACTGATGACAAATATTGATGAGATAATCTCGAACGGTGAGGTTCTTTTGTAGTTTTCATTATGGAATAGAACTGCTCACAGAGATAAGTGCAAACAGCAAGATTTCTGGCTGCAAATTTCCGCAATTCTACGTACCATTCAGGGTAAATAACTAAAATTTTGGCACAGCCAATTCTATATACTTCGATTTCAACAAAAAATCTGAATGCTATTCTATCAGCTCAAGTTGCACATTACCAGCAGCAATTTTAGAATCAAATGAGAATGAGGATACATACATCGAACGGAACGAAGTCACGAAAACTGTCATTGAAAGCATCTACTAACGATTCCAGGTGTAGGACATATTTACCAAATGCTGTAGCCGTATTTGATCTTTTTAGTTCCAGACACGTTCAGAAGACAACAAGATTTTCTCTTCCTATTTGGTTTATCCACAGTCGTAATTTTGCTTGTAAGCACTTCACATGATTACATGAAGTTGTGACAATTTTGTCTTTACTTTGAAGTTTCAAATTCAAGTCTAGCAGGTGACTAGTGGGATCAACTGACAATGCCAAATCCCGAACCCATTAGTCAGTTTTGAAATGTTCAACGGGTTCACCTTTCATGTTCAGAAACAATACAATTTCCTCACGCAGTGCAAAAAAATATCTTCAATACTTTATGACATGAGAGCCAGCGGACTTCTGTGTAGTAGGGAACACAATCAAATTCGTGTCCAATGTCATACAGAAATATTGAAAATTGGCGATGATTTAAACTACTGGCACGAATAAAATTGAGAGCGACTGAAACCGGTCTTATGACATGTTGGAACTTTAAATTGCTTTGCGCAGAATGTTTCTTGGTGAATGATGCACTGAAAATGAAGAAATTTAAACGTAGCATCAGTCTTTCTTATTTTTTGCAAGTAACTTAGCATCAAAACCATTTCATTTCATGGCTGGTGCGCCATCCGTTTTTAGACTAGCTAGCATTACCAAAGATAAATTGTAGCCTACAGCAATATCACCTCCTCTAATTTCTCAAAAACATCCTCGCTTGTTGTGGTGTTATGCATAGAACAGAGCTCAAGTAGCTCCTCATGAATCTCAAAATTCCTGTCACAGGCCCTTATGAATATAGCCAACTATGCTACACACATTACATCAGTTGACTCATGGAGAGCCAATGAAAATAACAGAAAATCTTTAATTGTTCTCGCAATCTGACTGACATGTCATTTATTCTAATTTATTCTATCTGCCACAGTGTTCCTAGTAAACGCTATTTCCTAAATGCTTTCACCTTTTCTAGGCAAAATACTTCGGCTTTAACGACACACTCCTTCATAATATCACATTCACTAAATGATTGCTATTTGACAAAATGTAGCTTAAATTGCTTTCACTGCAGACTCACTCTCGTTGTTCAGTTTAACAAATACTATTTTTCGATTCAAGTAGCTTGTCCTCTCTTATTTTCCAGCGTAACAGTTTAACATTATTTTGATAATTTTTAGGTGGCTAAGCGGGCCTCACGCAAAGTGGTCCCGGGCCGCATGCGGCCCCCGAACGCCGTGTTTGACATGCCTGATCTAGACGTTTGGAAATCAAAATCTAAACTTTAATTCTAGAAATTGAAATTCTAAATTTTGATCTAGTCTATATCATTTTAAACTAGACCTAGGATGATTTTAATTAGAATAAAAAAATATATATCTAGTTTTAAAAATCTAGATAAGATCTTAATTTAGCTTTTATGTCTTTTTAAAATACGAGTCAGATTACGAGGTTTTATAAACATTACTATACCGAGTTGATTTAGCATTTCATTTAAAGAAATTATTCCATATGACGTCAAAGGAAAAAAACACTACGTCACACGGCCTAGTTAGACAAAAAATGCCTTCATCTATAGAAGCCAGTTATCGAGTGTTCATAGACATTGGTGCACCGAGAGAGTTCTTTTAGCATTTCATTTAAAGAATTAATTCCACATGACGTCAAAGGAAAAAAAATCCACTACGTCACACGGCCTAGTTAGACTTAAAAAGTAACAAAAAATGTCTTTATTAACACGAGATATTTAACGACATTGGTGCACGGAGTTCTAATAGAATTAATTTAAAGAGGATTAAAGCCGCATTTTTTTTGCATTTTGTCTTTCTGTCCGTCATGTTAATATAAAAAAAAAACAACTAAAAATTATTGAAAATTTAATTAAGCATTAATTTTCGTTTCGAAACATCGCAATAGTTTTAAGTATGAACGCATTAGATTTAAGTACATATACTAGATTGTTCCGGATGTTTCTATAAATAGTAAGAAAAAAAGAGAATTCCAGATAAATGTTAGACTGTTAATTAAGTTTTTGGGGTGGTCTTGTATAAAAATTAGATGTACCAAAGCCTTGTGGCGAGATTTTCATACCATACTTTGGTGTTTGAAAGTTGTTTTCCTTAAAAATCGGAACATAATATTAACGATAATTACATTTTATAACCTTTTAGCTAGAAAATGAAATATACTGTAAGAGAGAAGTGAGATTTTACATAACAATAGAGTTAAAATATTTTTCATAAAAAATCCGGAACATTTTTTCTTAAATGCGAAGATTATTTGTTTTATTAATTAGAAGGGGGATTTCAAACAGTTATTTGGCGTTAGTAGATTTTTCATATAAAATTCGGAAATTTTTAGCGACGATTTGTAAGAAAATGTAAGTAATGTAGGTCGTTTTCTTTTCAAAACAAAATCCGGAACATTCTTTATTGATTAAAAAAACTTTTGTCATGCTTCAGCAAGAAAATTAAATTTAAAATAAGTCTTAAATGTAATTTTTAGTAATCGTTTCTAGTAAATTACTTTCTTTTTTTAAAATCCTGAACAACCTATTGTCGACATTTTTAAAATTTGTTTAAAGATGAAAATACGGAACTTATTTATATCGATAATTAAACTATAGTAACTTATTTGTCAAAGAATATAAGTGAAATATTAGTAAATTATGCGATTTCAAACAATCATTTGACATAATTCATTTTTTTATAAAACAATATCCGGAACATTTTTAAAGTCAATCAGTATAGAGATTTTGATTTAGCGTTTATATGCTAGTTACATTAAAAAAAACGGAACAACATATTATTGATAATGTGTTTTTGCAACGTTTAAGCATGGAAATTAAATGTAATATAGGTTAGAAGAGCAAAACAAACATTCGTTGGCATTGATATGTTTTGCCCAAAAACATCCGGAACAATCAATTATAGAAACTTAAAACTATTGACATGTTACGGGAGAAACATTAAAGGGTAAATCAGATTTTCAATAGCTTATAGAGTTATTGTTTTTTTTATTTAAACGTGACGGACAGACCGACCGACCGACAAAACGCACACAAATAAGCCTCTTTTATTCTGATGGGGGCATTAAACAAAAATAAATAAAATCTGATTATACTTAAAATTTTGAAGGAACTGATAGTACCATGTCTTGCAGATGCTTGTCACGCTACTGCACAAAAGTCGCTGCATAAAAAGTCCATTTTAAAAAATGTGCGTGATATCTACATACAAAGTGCATTCTTAGCCTTTATAAACAAACATAAATGTTACCTTTTAATTTTATTTTAGCAGCTTGTTGACCAGAAAAAACACCTTTAACTAATATTTATATTTGTTGTGAACAACTCGAATACACCTTATGAGTATATCTAACTTTGTGATACTGATAATGTATATATATATTATTGCTCTTTGCTAACATTGCCTCCCTTACATTTACGTAATTGTTTTAGAATTGGTGTATTTTTATGAACAAATTGCTTGCATAATTAATTTTATAAATTAAACGGTTTGCTTTTAGAAAACCAAAAGTAACCGTTGCACCTAAACTTTTCAAGCAGCATCTCATGGTGAAAAAATATTTTTCATTTCTCTCTAGTTTTCGAGATCTGAGTTTGACAGACGGACAGACGGACATTTTGTACAAACCTAATAGCGGCTTTTCCCCTTACGGGGGCCGCTAAAAATGAAATAAAAGTGTGACATCTAGATGTGAAATAGAATAAAATACTGCACAATGTCACAATTTATAGACAAAGCAGTGTCACGTCAAGATGCGACAAAATAGTACGTGACATAGACAAAGCAGTGGTCTCATTAAGACGTGACAAAAAGAACCGTACAACAGAAGCAATTTCGTTTTTAAATTTTAGTTTGTGCACGTGCGCGTAAATGTATGTAGGTGTGTATGTGTGAATTAAATAGGTGTTAGTCTATTCATGTGTTAACTAAGTTTGCTTAGCCATTCGAAAAACTGCACTCATCCTAAATCTTCGGATACGAAGATATAGCCATTAGTATTATTTGGTAAGTATTGACTGATACAATGGTAACCTACAAATTATTAATTTTATTTTGTGTTTTTGTTTGTATTTGAGAGATACATTTTTGTGGTGTATGTGTTATTGAATAAATATTTAATTAATAAATAGCTGTGTGTGTGTGTGTTTATGTTGATACGTGTTTCGTGCCTGTCTGTCTGTGTTCAATAGATTGAGCTCCATGTTTGTGGATGTGTGTTTGTGAATGTTTATGTCTAGAATGTGCTTATCTACAGATGGTGTTAAATAGGCTGCATATTGACAACTACATGTATGTGTAGGGCCAACAAATGTGTTAAATAAGTGTTTATGTGTTTGTTAAAAAGATGTCTGTGTATCAAAGAATCTGTTTCATGTATGTGTGTGTTGCGTGTTTCTGTCAGTCTTTAACATTTTTTAACAAAGTAACAAAATGATTTTTACAATTATACAAATAATATTTGGTTTAAAGATGTATCGTGTAAAACTTTTAATTAGTAATAAAAAAGAAACGGTGTTGTCTGGAAGTTACACCAAAAGAACAAATGCAAGTGCGATCTAGAGCGTAGATAGCTCAAAACAGTTTGGGGTTTTGTTTTTAAATGGGGTCCATCGAATAAATGATTTACTACTTTAGTTTTCGTCAAATAAATAAAAGGCTTGATAAAGATAAAGAGTAATGATAAAGAGTAGACTAAGAAACAAAAACTAGAGCAATAGTCTCCAAAGTATCAGACTCTGAGTTTTCATTGAAAATGTGCACTTTTATCAAAACTTTAATGTCAAAAGTATAGCCACGATGACATAACTACAATGTAACAAAACCACTTTTTATTTGGTATCTGTTTCTATGGCCATATATAATGTTATATTTACGGTCAACAAAATCCACATTATGGCCTGTACAGAACTTTTGACATTGATGTTATCACTGGTCTGAACAAATGCTAAATTCTCCAGGTTTAGAGCAAAGTCTCACAGCACAGATCCTCACGGTCAGGACACGCGTGGTGGGGAAGAACCTTCACCGCAGGGTCAAAGGAACAAAAGCCGCCTTTGATACATCTTCTGTTTGGAAAATCTGGAATCAAACATTTAGGAGAATCCAAGGCCACGCTTCCATGAGCTGCCACAGGCGGCATTATCTGGGGAGATACTGAGGGCCTTACAACCTGTGGCCTTGCTGTGGTGGTGGCTGGTCTGCGTGGCTCATAGCTGTCTGTAACATGCGGAACCAGTGGTAGAGTTTCCGGGATGGAAAGAAGAGATGAGCAGCAGTGCATATTTTGACCACAAAGTCCATAAGGCACCTCAAGTTCAGGACAAGACGAATTTTTGGCAATGCAGTAGTGATTTTCTGGTTGGTCATAACCTTGGCAAGCTGAAGATACACATGATATATTTTACTAGAAAAATAATTTACAAGTTGGGAGATTTCGTTTTAATTTAATTTTTTTAAAAACTTGCGAGATACAATCTTTCATTTCTACTAGCTTTACATTATAAGATATATTTTTCAAAAAGTTTAATTGTAACCAAATGAAAAAAAATGCGGAATTCTTTCATTTTCATTGAAGCCCTGTTACAAAAAGTAAATATATATATATATTATCATATCATCAATATTATTATCATATTATATCTCTATATATAATTCTCTTCATGGCTCAACCATGCCTGACACCACCATATGTCATGGAAAGATAACTCTATTATTTCTGCAAGTTGCACTAGAGTTACCCCAAATAACTTTTGCGGCGTAAAAAAAAAGGGGGGGGGGGAATATCTTCTATGTATTCATTCATTACTAAATAGCAGGGCCGGACATAACCATTGCGGCGCCCTATGCGAAACTGATCGCGCGGCGCCTAGTTTGGATAGAGATACGGATAATAATTGAAAATTTAGAGTTTATAAAAAGTTTAATTTAATAATTTACACCTAGGATTAGCGTGGGACCTATGAAAGTGGGGGGCCCACTGCGGTCGCATAGGTTGCAGTGGCCTAAGGCCGGCCCTGCAAAATAGCAGCGTATGCTAGCCCATGGTTCGACTAGTAGTAAATAATATGCAAAGTAAAATGTCTTATATTGTTAGATTAGCTACTAGAACTAGTAACAACAATGATCTCGTGTTGATATCTCGTGCTGGTCTCGTATTGACCGCGATACAGCATGCTAGTGTTAGGATCATTTTTTAATTAAGTGTTTAATTTTATTACGAAGATTATACAAAGTAACTCTGTCTGTCTGTCTGATACAAATTTTCAACATGTTATTTCTCCCATTTCCCATCCGAAGACAACATGAATCAATCAAATAATTAACCAAAAAGTTAATAAAATGATGGTAAATAATATTTTTATAACGTAAAGGGGAAATAAATCTTACATTATTGAGCTATATGGTTGTAAATGGGGAGTTAATCCTATAGATAAAAGTATTTTTTTAATAATATACTTGTTTTATTTAAAGAAATATAACAGATTACAGATATAACATTCATATGACATCATTATACTTTTATCTTTACTCCCTGAGGGACCAGCAGCTTGCCCTCAACATATCCGATAACAAGGTTACAAATACAGTTTGTGTGGAAACACAAACTCAAAATCGGCCCCCGAAGTGGTCCATCCAGGCAGATAAAAAGGCAGGTTTCAATTTTTTCAGAACGAAATGTAATCAAACACAAATGACAGAAAAGAATGGAGAAAGAAGGTTGACAGATCTTGTGTGGTGCCCCAGCGGTCCAGCAGACCAAAGGACAGGTGAATGTGAAGTTAGATGTGAACCTGGCCTAACTAATGTCTTATAATGAATATAATTGATCTAATTTTTTGTTAAGGGTCAATCTCTTATTTCTCAA